GTGTTGTTCTCTACAATGTAAGCCTCATATGAGCTCCTCTCAAAGACAGGCGCGTTGTCATTCACGTCAGAGATCTGTAAGGTGAGAGTGACGCTACTGGAGAGGGAGGGCACTCCCTCATCAGAGCAGGTCACTGTGATGTTATACTCTGATGCTGTCTCTCGGTCTAATTCACTGTCAGTGACGACGGTAAAGAAATTATTTGTTGTTGATTTAATGGCAAAGGGAATATTTTCGTTTAAAACACACATGACCTTGCCGTTTTCATTTGCGTCTGGATCTTGTATGTTAAGCATCGTCACGACCGTCCCTGGTTTCATGTTCTCAGATACTGTGTTTGACTTCGACATGATGTTAATGGATGGAGGGTTATCATTTGTATCTGTCACGTCCACAATCACTTTACATGCATCGGATAATCCTCCCTGATCTGACACCTGAACATCAAGCTCGTAACGTCTCCTTTTTTCATAATCTACATTTCCATCTAAGGTCAATACTCCACTATCTGCATCGATTTTAAAGAGACTCGCTGCTCCAGATTTTGAAATTGTGTATGTTACTTTCCCGTTATTGCCTTTATCTACATCAGTAGCCATTACTGTAGTTATTGCAGTGCCGATAGGAGCGTTCTCTGTCACACTCACTTTGTATTCCGATTTTGAACAAACGGGAGGATTATCATTCGCGTCTAACACTGTTATGAGAATCTGCATTGTCCCCGAGAGCTGTGGTTCACCGCCATCAACGGCGGTCAGAATTAATGATATATGCTCATGTTTTTCTCTGTCTAAAGGTTTCTGCAAAACCATCTCGACGTGTTTAGTCCCATCTACGCGGATGATGGTTTTCAGAGCGAAATTATCGCTGGGTTTAAGGGCGTAGCTGCTCAACCCGTTAACACCAACATCTTCATCTATGGCTTTCTCTAAAACAAATCGTGCCCCTGTAAGAGCTGATTCGCTAATTTCATATTTCATTTCTCCTCTCTCAAATGTAGGAGGGTTGTCGTTTATATCGGTAATTTCGACCGTCACCGTGTAAAACTCCATTGGGTTTTCGAGGATCATTTGAAAATGGAGCGCACAGGGCATTGTTTGCCCGCAGAGCGACTCTCTGTCTATTTTCTCTTCAATAAGTAGCGCTCCTCTCTCTCTCTTCAGTTCAATATATTCTTCACTGCTGCCAGTGTAAATTCGAGCTTTACCAGACTTCAATCTCTCCACACCCAAACCTAAATCCTGGGCTATATTTCCTACGAGAGCCCCTTTCAACATTTCCTCAGGAATAGAGTAGCTGACCTGCCCGCACACTGCACTGAGAGAGAGCACCGAGATAAACAACAGCACTTGCCATCCCATCGTTCCGGGCGACTCGTCGATGAAGGAAATAAAAAAAATCCTGTTTCTTCACTGCAGGATCTGACTTTGACCTGATTATTCACGTGTTTGGTCCTGGAGATGGCAATTATCCTAAATTGATGAACAAAAGAATCCCACTGTGCCGTCCACGTGTATGTTGCTCATGTCAATCCCGAATGTTAACTGGCTCGTTCTATTTCAAAACACACGATGAGATACGGAGCAAGAGTTATAGGGGAGGTGCTGGAACAAAAGCTTCATCAGAAAATCGATGGCCAACAGCGTCCCTCTCTGTCCACTGAACTTAACTACACAGTGTCTTATGCAATCAGAATAAAGAAATACAAACTATATACAGACATATGTATGTAAAATGTTTGCTGACAAACAATTTTACAGATTTGAATCTCATTCAAATACTCGAATTCATGTCTGTCTATATAACCTATGGAATACAAATTAGTGAACAGAAGAGCTAATTATAAAAAACAGAATAT